GGTGGGACTCAAAGGCGACTGGAACCCAACGGCCGAGGCCGCTCTGCAGCTTCTTTATTCCCTCAGCCACGCCTCCAAGTAGTTCGCCGTCGCTGCAGTAGTTAGTCGTCGGTAGTCAGCATGAAGCGTCCTGCCGCCCAAAGCACTTCAAGGATCTTCCGCTCTCATCTCTTCAGGTGTATGTGCAAAGGAAACCTTGCAGAAGCTCACAAAGTCGACGCCGCCCTCTACGGGATGTCCGGTCCCGAGAAGGTCTCGGTTGTTACCGTCCGCTGTACCTCGTACTCCTGCAGAAGAACGTATGGTCCCAACTTCTACATCGAACAAAGTGAGAAGATCAACACCCTACCAGATGTAGATGCTGCCGGGGAGGCTATATTTCTCAGTCCCAAGATTGGCTTCACGGTGACCTACCTTCGCTACCACATGCTCTTGGAGTTCCGGGCTTTCGCTTCAGCTCGAGCAGCGCTCGATGTGTATAACAGGGTATACGACATCAAACACTGCAGTGTAGGGGGTCACTTCAGAGATGTCCATGGGTCCGCGATCATGTATTTCCTCGCTCTCAGTGAGTATCCGGCCGCATCGATCCCCATGAATTTTGCCATTGGTCAAGAGGCAACCAGTCAATCGATTGAAGCCTACGATCGCTATGTGCATAACCATGCGTTCCCTCCGTCTGACAAGCGGAAGGTCACGGAGATTGTGTGCGACGGCCATGCTAAGGTGCACGTGAAATGCGGCTCCTCGGACAAGAAGCACCCCGGAAAGCCTCGAGCGAACGGCAAACGGAAGCCCTACGGCTACGGCTGGTTCATGGCCGTTGATCCTCGCACTTTACGCGTCCTGGGGGTTTCCTGCCTTCGCCAGCCGGAGGGCAACGAAGTGATGGACGGCATCCTCACACAGCTCCTCCCTAAGTATCCAAAGCTTGACGGGGTCGTTATGGACAGGGCTTGCACCTTCCTCCCTCACGCAAAGCGCGCCAAGAAGTTTGCACAGGTGGGCTATTGGTGTGTTGACTATTTCCACGGTGCCAAACACAGTGACCAATGCCCTTGCAACCCCCATCATGTCCGTCGTCTTGACCGTCGCTTTGATCGTGTAAACACTTCGGCAGCGGAACAGGTCTTTTCCTGGTTCCGCCTGCGAGAGTTCTGAATGAGCTCTCCCCGCACCGGCATCGTCTGAAAGTCTTGGTGTTCTGTAAGCTGCATAATGATGTCTGCCGGGGCGGGCGGCCTGGCTACCTCAGCCAGTTTCCTTACAAACGTAAGAAAGTCTCGAAGGCCTACAGCTGTAGCATGAAGTGCCAGAAGACAGCTCCCAAGAAGCGTCCGGCATGTCGAGTATGAAGGACCTCGAGCAGTCATGCACAGTGGGCAGAACGAGTGGGGAGAAATACCGTTGCACTGTCTGCGTGCTGTGTATGCTACAAACGTAAGAAAGTCTCGAAGGCCTACAGCTGTAGCGTGAAGTGCCAGAAGACAGCTCCCAAGAAGCGTCCGGCATGTCGAGTATGAAGGACCTCGACCAGTCATGCACAGTGGGCAGAACGAGTGGGGAGAAATGCCCTTGCGCTGTCTGCGTGCTGTGTATGCTTCCCTTGCGGTTTCAATGCATCCAAGGTATTTCAACGACGACTATGTCCTCCAGAGGCCCAGACGATTTGATATGTAAATACGCATGTGCCCAAATAGTGGGGTTGGATATACCCAAATAGTGGGGTTGCAAAAACCCAGGTCCCATGGCAGGCCGCTCTCTATGGATAATACGGCCAGGTCCGATGACGCTTCCGATACCAGTGTGAAGCGAGTGAAAGGAGCCGAAGACATCAGCCCGTCAGTTCATATGGCTGGGAGAGTCACTCCTGAGAGAGGTAGAGGTGGGAATAGCGCTTCATCATCAGGTCTGAACTCTCCTGTTCCCACAGGACCGGGAAGACTCATGGAGCATAACATGTTTACTCCACCCGCTGACAACAAGCCTGGAAGCTGGCATAGAGCAGGTTCCAGTCCATCGAAGAGTTTAGCTGGCACTGGAATATCGCCTGAGAATGAGATGAGGAGAGAAATTTTAGAGATGGATGGAAAAGTTTGTCAGCTAGAGATGATAGTCATCGATGCTAGAGAGGGAGTAGGCAAGAATGCTGAGGATCTGAGGAGAGTTGATAATATGGTTTCGTCGCTCAGCTTGACTGCACATGAAGCGCATAATATGGCGATCGACGCATGCCGAAGGTTAAATGAATATGAGTTTCAGGCAGTTCGCGAAGTTGCCGAAGGTAAGCCTCAGGATTCAGGTCAGGAGGTGCACTCGGTTGCGGGAAGCGCGGTCGGAACGATGATACACAGGAATAAAGAGATGATTGACACCATGAGATCATCCGCTGCATCATCCTTTCAATACTACGACAAACGACTCAAGGATGTAGAGACACAATTTTCTGATCACGTTTGGATCTCATTCGGGATCGGTAATCATGGCATCAATCTCCAGACCTATCAGGGCCCCATGTCCCCTCAACCCAACCTGGGCCTTTATTTGTGGTAAAATGAACAACTATACGTATGAATCTTCGTTTATTCTCGCTTGACGTTCGGCCCCGATGTCGTTACCGAGAGATCACGACACCCCAACCAGAAAACTGCCCGCATCCACCTTAACTCCTCTCGCGCATAAAAAAAGCGGTTGCTCATATTTAGGCCAGAATTTCGGCGGGTCTCTGGAGCTGGGTGGCTGAAGGAGGCTACGGGCTGTTGGACGTGAGCGAATTTAACGTGCATTTGCATATGTCCAGACAATATGCACCGGCTTTGGGGTTTTGCAACATGAATGCAAGGGTTTTCAGCGTCCCTTTGTTTCCATCCGGGCTGGGAGGGCATGCCAGAAGCTTCAGTATCCCTAAAACTTAAAACCTCAACCCCGAAGAATGCCCCCTGTGCTCGCTTGCAGCTTTGCCCCAAGCAAGCCGCAAACCTGATGTACCGACGAAAATTGACATAGTTATCAGGTGATAAGCTGGAGGAGGAACATGCAAAGCTTGCCGAGCGCATGAACGCCCTGGAGAAGGCCAGGCAAATGTTGCCAGGTTAGCTCAAGGTCGGGGATGATCTTTATGAAGCGCCAAACTCCTGAAAAGAAAAGGGCAAAAAGGAACCCTGAACCGCAAGCCGTAAAGTGTAGCTCCGTGGATAGTTCCAGGAGCTGGCCGAAACTGGGGCGAAGGTGGATGCTGCGTTTCTTGGCCAACCTGAAAAACCCTCCTCCAAAGTGAAAGTTTTGCTTGCCTGGGCCAATGAAGGATGTACTCAATGCTCAGAAGTTCTTACGGTGTGCTGGCTGATGTAAGGATGATGCTGGACAAGATACAGGGGCGAGTGTCCAAGTTGGTCTGTTTTTGTGCGAAAAGACCGTGTCAAAAACCGCCTGAAAACTTGTGCTGGGAACGTAATCGTGGCTCCGTAACCCGGCGCGAGCTCTTTGGTCAGAGCATTCAGGGGATGGGTGCGGGGCCACGATCACGTTACCAGCACACAGGTTTTGGGGGTCAGAACTCCGGGCGTGGACCTACGCGGACCCCGGGTGTTTTTCCTGGCAAAGACACAAGTGCGAACCATGGAAAACATCGAGAAAACGTGTGCGGATTCTCCGGGCATTTGGGGAAATGTATGTGGCATGCTCCGAATTGCATGTGGGATCGTGGTTGGTCGCAAAAAGCCAATCTATTTCTATTTTTGGATTTGGTTTTAACCTGCTTGCACGTTGTAACGAAATACAGACAACCCAATAGACATGCACGAAAGCAGGCTGTGCGAGTGCATTTTGCCAGGCCCCAATAATGCATGCGGTCTTGCCTGTCTGTCTTTTCTTCTGCGCGGGGTCAGGTCTATCGTGGTTTTGGAAGACAGCCAGCCGCCAATACTGCATTTGGGCATGTTCATTTTTATTTGGGCCAAAAAAAAGCATGAATCATATCTATGTCTTTGGGTTCCGACTCATGGTGCTGCGTGACGACCTGTTCGGGGGCCAGCGCTGAAGTTTATGGTATCCCCAAACGCCTGTCGATTTTTAAGTCGCATTGATGTTTCACGCGTTTTCCCTTTCTCTACAATCTTCTTGTTTGGGGTCTTCGCCGGCATAATTCTTTTTCAGACCATCGATTTCTTGCTCCAAGCAAGTAGTCTCCAGGTCCTTTTCATCGAAAGGCTGTCTCTTTTTCAACTTCTCAGGCTCAGCAGTGGCAACACCATTGCTCATGACTTGCTGGAACTGCTCACCATTGGAAAGCATGCCCTCTCTGTCCTCCATTCCTTTGCGTTCCTGGACAGCAGGCCACTCCTGGGTCTCTTCAGAGTCTGACATGGCAACACGGGGCTAGACCTATACTCTATTCTACTCTCTCACTGTCGCTACGACACCCTTCCTGCACACTTACTCTTTTGTGATGTTAATCTTGTCGCTCTTTGGCACTGTGTAAAGCCTTGAAGATCTTGGGCCTTGAGCGTTGAGTCTGGCTCGAGCAGTGAATGCTAACTCTGACACAGGCAATCTAAATCGCAACTTACACATGGCTACTGTTTTGCCACCATCGCTGCTTACGGATTTCGCTCAGAACAAATGGATTTGCTCAAAATGGAAGTGGCTGCGCTGCTGGCAGAAGCCACGAACTCTGGTTGCTAGCTACTAGATCTCAGACGGCCTCAAGGACGGATGCGCAATCACTACCTTAACAGAATCGGGCCACGAGGATTCGAGAGTCCCTCCGGAATCTGGCGTGAAGCATCTTCCAAAACTATGCTCCTACCTATGACTCCGGTTTCGGTTTCACGCCTGGCCACGGGATTCCAGGAAACCCTGCAGCCACAGGGACCATCTGACCTGAAGCATAACAAACACACCAAGATTCTGGATTCGCTCAGAACCAAGGCCACGAGGATTAGAGAGTCCTTCGGGAGTCTGAGATGAAGCTAGCTTCCAGCTGCAAAAGCCCGTAACTCTCACTGCTCCTGCTGTTTTTGCCGGAACTCGAGCATCTTGTGCAGCCTGTCCTGCTCGGTCACACTCCCTTCCGAGTGCATTTGCTGCAGCCACTCTTTCATGGGCCCAAGGCAAGCGTCCCGAGCAATGAGCTGCCGGACGCTGTGAGTGTCGTCGTCTCCTCCCGCCCGCTCGAACCAACAAGTGTTTGGTGGAACCAGGATGCTTGCCCCCTCTTGAAGCTTCACCGCCCAGCCATTCTTGGTGGTCTCCGCTGTCACATGTGTGGCCGGCATTGCCTCCAGCTTCTTGAGCTGACCAGCCAGGCTTTCATCACCAAGCACTTTCGATGGGAATCCGCCGATGGTGAGGGAGCCTTCCACCGCGAGCAGCAGCATGGGCTAGTTCATCTCTGTTCGCAAATAGACACTGACACTTTGCCGGGAGGGGTCTCACGTCCGCCCTATGTGCCTGGTAAACCGCCCCTGGCCCGTAGTTACTAGATAACATCAGTTTGAAAAGGGGCGCGCCGGACTCCACTCTTTGCATTTCTGGAACCCATGATGGATCGCGAGGATTCTAGGGGGCACGGGGCGTACAGCGCAAGCAGCTAGAGGGATACGTGCAAAGTTTCAACAGGCCTGTACATGGCTGACATGGCCTTCGTAGCCTTGCAGCTTGCGTGCAGTGAGGTGCAGTTCGAGATGTCTCGACCGACTGCCGGTGATGAAGGCCTTGCCAACAGGTAGCGTTCGTGAAAGGCTTGTTCAGAGGATGCGTTATGACAGGCACGCCCTCTCAGCCGTGCAGCCAGAGCGCTGCGCAGCGAAAGTTTGCAGATAATGCCAGCGCAGACGGTGTCTATGCCTGGTACCCTGAGTTTCCTAGCAGCAGGAGGAGAGTCGACAAATGCCGAACATGTTTTTTTTTGTGACTAGCAGGCAGCATAGTGCATCATTCTTGGATGGCTTGCAAGCTCGAGACCTCTGCTACCAGGTTGATGGCCGAAGTGACTCCTTTCCTATCCGCTTCCCGGCTTACTGGATTCGGTTTATTCGTGTCGGCAAATCCCGTCTGCCTAGGCGAATGATTCTTCCAGGCTGGGGGCATCGTGTCAGGAGGCCTGGAAATCCCTGTGAGCAAGATTGCGCTGCGGCCCATTTGATGTGAAGGTTTTCCAGCTGCATTCCATCCTTCCAGTCAGGCCGTTTTGCTTGTCGTATCTCATCACGTGCCGGCGGATCCGGCGGTTATGTTCTGTTGGGAGGCGCCCAAAGGACGAGAAAAACTGCTGGTGGGCTGGGGCTTCTGGTAGCAACGCCCCGGAGATGTGCAGACACTGGACACGATTCCGGAGCACGAAGGCTAAATCAAAGACATGACCGGATCTTAAGCATAGGCTCGGATAGTCGGATCACCGGAGCCCAGCCTGCTCAATACAGGCGCTACAGAAAACGGCGGGGGATGGTATGGTATCTTGTCTTGCCACTAGAATTCCAGGAGCAGGGCTGAAAAGCTTCACGTTTTGCAAAGGTATGGGACTGTCTCAGCCAAGGTCTCGTAATATGTGGAGCAGGTCGGACCAGATCACCCACATGTCAGCCATCATCATCCTCATGTAAAATCTTGGGAAACCTGGTGGCAGATGCTGCTGGATCCTTTTGCTTGTTGTAACGCGCCTGTCACAACTGATGGCAGCTCGTATTTTAATGTCCACTTCTTCCCTTGACGTACGGCGCGAACTGGAGCTGCGCAGCAAAGCAACAGTGTAGCCCCTTGCCGCGGTTTGCTATGGTAGCGCACGCGCCCGCAGCAATTCTGGAGCTTTCAGGCTCAAGCCAAGCTGCTCGCTGCTAGTAGCTGCAGCTCTTTGTAGGCTTGGCCATCCCTATCGGAGGCCATCATGTTGGGAACTCCAAGCTTAAACCGCCAACCTCCGTCGACTTGTTCTATGACCTTGGGGGTCGGGGGGGGCCAAGCACTTATGACCATGACACAGGCCAACGAATGGCAGTGGCTTTTGAAGCTCGGCAGCTGGATGCTGATGTCCTCAGAGGTACTGCTGAAGGCTTGTGGGCTTGCAGGTATACACAGCCCAGGGTAATTATCGGGCTTGGCTTGAATTGAACAAAACAAGCTGGCAGGTTTTCCCTCGGTTGAGAACTTCTTTCCTGCTTCTCGGCTCAAATTAGATCATGTAGGCCGCTCTCAGACCCGATTGCGCCGTGTAGTCAGCTGCCGAGGCTGCTCAATACTTGCCGGCCCTGAAGGCGGGGCATCATTGGCAGAACGCAAGGATGGAAATCTACACTGTGAGAAGAGGGAGGAATTCAACTACTGTACCAGGTAGTGTCGAAAGGGGCATATAGCACTGCTCGGTGCCATTACCCGCGTGTCCACTATGTGTCTGTCGGTAGCGCATTGTGAGCATCGTTGTTACGATTGATTTTTGCGTGCGTGCGTGCATGTGTGTGCGTGTGTGCATGTGTGAGTGTGTTCGTGACCCTGGCAGGCCGCTGACAGACTAACAGATGTGGCTTGTGGCGTGCGTTCGATTTGTGAGGATTCGCGCAAATTCACCAGGTTGCATGTGGTAGCATTGCGGCGTTGTCAAAGATAAAGGCTTGCTCTTGGCGAACTGTGGGGACCGCAGCAAGTTTTCGCCTGTTTCAAAGCAGGTCGGTTGGTGCCCGACAGTCAAAGCATTTGAGGGTAACCTGCCCTGACAATGGCAGTCGGCCATATGTCTCCAGGGAGGCCGTGGAGAGGGCTTGCGCAATGATAGATCGACGTGAGCTAGCGGTAGCGTGGACCGCCTGGAGCCAGGCCATCGTTGGTACATGGGTTGCGCCGGTTGTAGCTTGCATGTTGCGAGGGGGCCCTTTGCGTCAGATCTAGTTCTCTCGTTGAAGTTCATTCTCGACTATGCGCAGCCTTTTGGCCAGATGCAGCAATGCAAGATCGAGAATCGGATATTATTGAATACCTAGCTTACATGTGGCCATCCCCAGTCTGCAACGCAACAACAGACTGGTGGAATGGAAAGGGGGGAGGAAAAAGGCCGGCTCAAGCTGCCAATCGTCGGTTTCAGAGTTAAGGTCGGGGAACTGGGATCGAAAGAAGCTTGTTCTGTTCTATGCCCTGTAAAGTTACAATCAGACCATACTTGGACCGGAGGCTCATGGGTACGTATTTGTAGGGTTATAAGTTATCATTGGTGTGCAGAATCTGATAGAGGAGCATCCCAAGGTAGATACTCTGATCTTGGGAACCTCCGGAATATTACAAATATATGTACCTATAAAAAAAATATATATCTACTGAGTATAGTACACGCATCTATACTCTGATTCAATAACAGCAAGTTAGTCCTTGCCTCATAAAATAATTGTTGCTCCTCACGGAAGGTGGGGAGGCGTGCCCCACATGGCAGGATGTCGTAGGAAATCAACGACCGGACCCGACGTGCGATTTAGTACTTATGATTGCTGATATCTATATAAGACATGATGAGATACGTGATTTGATATCTATATGAGATATGATAAGATAAACGATTTGTGGCCTGTGATTTGCTGGTATCTACGTGAGATGTGGTAATATATACGACTTTTTATGTATGATTTGTGTTCATTTTATTGAGATATGGTGAGATATATGATTTGGTTTCTATGATTTGTTATTAATAATATGTTCCCATTTATATGAGAAGCATATCTCCATAAAAGGCTACGGGCTCGACCTCTATTTTCGCTCTGCGGCCGCTCTGTCGGATGCCCCGCCTCCTCTTCCGGTCGATTTGGCTGCTTGTGAGGGCCTTGCAGGGGGATCCTGAAAATTCCGGAATTTTAACGCTTATGGGAATCACCCGGAGCTGAAAATTCCCGGAATTTTAGGAATCACCCGGATTGAGGTTTAGGCTTTCCGGATTGGGTCTACGGTTCTAGCACAACAATGATGACGTGGGTGCCCCTTCACCTTCAGGGAATCTTCAAGGAAATCTCTTGGTCCAGGGTAGTTCAGATGACGGTCGCCGCCCGCCAGCTGTTCAAGGGGGTTCGGCCTCACGATCATATATCAACAACAACAACATTCATTTCCACTTGGCGTAATGCAGTGTCGACGCTGGACACGCCTCATGAATTTTTCGGGATCCCCGGGTTCAGGGTTTAAGGGTTTCACGGTTGTAGGAGTTTGTCGGATTTGGGGGGTTTTGCTTTTTGCTTCTGTCGTAATGGTGTGGGTTTTGTCGGGCGTGGTGGGGGTGGGTGGTTTTGGGGTGCTGAGGGGCTGGGGTTGAGGGGCCAGGCTGCGGATTTGTTTTGCTGCAATGGTTTGGGTTTTGTCCGGTATGGTGGGTGCTGGGGCTGAGGGGCTGGGGTTTGAGGGGCTAGGGCTGAGGGTTGGGGTTGAGGGGCTGAAGGGCTGAGGGGCTGAAGGGCTGAGGGGCTGAGGGCTTGAACCGCTGAATTGAGAAGGGGTTGAAGAGGGGCTGAGGGGGCTGAGAGGAGAGGGATTGAAGGAGGGGCTGTTGAGGGGCGGGGTTGCTGAAGGGAGGGATTGTTGAAGGGAAGGGC